AGAGAAAGAGAGAAAACAAGCCACTGGGTCCAGGACTCAAACCACAATTGGCTATGTGGGAGTCCACCGCACCAACCACATGCCACTTGCCAGCCCCAATGAACTATTTTTAAAAATATAAAAATTCACTGCATTAACATTCCTACCAAAGGGGTTTTTCTGCCACTGTGAGACCCTCCATATCCTCAAGCAAACTACTTTCTGACTCAGATCTGTAAGTACTGCTCCCATCCTATATTTATGTACTACGATGCTCTAAGTCATTAAGATCATTTTAAAAATTTAAATATCAGGGTCAGGGAGCAGAGAAACAGAAACTTAAAGCTTTAGATATAAGTTTGGTCATCTTTTTTTTTCTTTTTTTTGAGAGATTATTGCTATAGGGCATGTGTGCTCACCAGAGAGACAGAAAGCGAGAAATTACCCCCAAAGGCGAATGGCCACGGTACAATCGCTTCTCCTCTACTCTCTTCCTGGGATTCTGGGCATGCACGCACATGTGCCTGGCATGAACTTCAAGCCACTGGGTCCAGGACTCAAAACACAGTTGGCCATATGTGAGTCCAGTGCCTTAACCATTACGCTACATGCTGGCCCCAAGTTTGGTAATCTTTACTCCAATTCCTACTTGTTTCTAAGTTCTATTTCTCAATTCCCAATGCAAGATATTATAGCTTTTGCTTTACAGCTGAGGATAACTTCTCTGATCTAGCTTTGTGTCCCTCCTACAATGTACCTGCTACCAATACCCCAGTGATGCCAAGAGTACAGTTCTAAGGGCCAAGGTTACTTTGGTTCAGATTCCCTTCCCATTCCCAAGATTTTATTTGTACCTTACTATTTATACTTCTCTTTTTGCTAACATTCAGTTTCCTCATTGTCCTGATCTTCCTCAAAAGAAAGACAGAAAAAGTATAAAGTAAATTCATATATACTTAGATTTCACATAAACTAAAAGTTAACCAAGAGTTACCAATCATGGTTTCTCTGAAGAGAAACGTGGTAACACAAACATCCTACATCTACACTGTCTAATATGGTAGCCCGTAGCAATACGTGGCTATTGAGCAATGGCTACAGTGAATGAAGATATAATGAGATATAAAGAAAGAGAAGAAGACAGACATAGGTATTTTTGGTAGGATCTTACTTTATCTTGATCCTCCTCTGCCCTAGATCCCAATTACCGAGGATTATACGTGTGCGTTAACCACACACGTGGTTAGTGTGTTTAGGTTGACATGGGAAGTGAACAGAAGCCCTCCATGAGGCTTCCAGCCATCTAAGAGGTGGTGTTACCTGTGAGCCACTGTAACTAGGCTGAGGAACAGCATTTCTAAATTCACGTGGCTTAGGAGCTACTGTATTCACTTCCCAGAATGCCGTCAATGAGACAGAGAGGTTTAAAATGAAAAAATGGAGAAAGAATTTACCTATTCTTCCCTACCCCAAACCAAAGAGAAAAGGAAAAGATAAAGCTAATGTTTTAGTCAACCAAAAATAGGCTCTGCGTGCATCAATTTCTACTATGACAATGTAATTTTTAACCTTTTGAAAATAAAACTTGAGCCATATCTAATTGTCACAAGATTATTAACCTGTCTAGGCAAAATTTTTCCTCTAAGGAAAAGATACTTATTTTCTAAGAAATGTTTTATTAAAATTTAAAAAGTAAAATTCTATGTTTCTTGTTTATTCTTTTAAAAAATAGTTTTAAATAGGATGAAACTATTTTCAGTTCCTAAACATTGTCCATTTAACTGGAACTAAAGCAATGTACAAAATGATCTCTTTTTTGTGAACTTCTCACCAAGAAACAAACAGATTGAATAGCCATTAGATAAAACTGGATGTTTTGTCAAGAATTTACAAGTCGGGACCAGCAGTTAGTGTACTAGCTATGTCACTGAACTCCCACATGGTCGACCGCGGTTTGAGTCCCAGACCTGGTGGCTTAAATCCACGCCGGGCACGTGTGCGTGCGTGCATGCCCAAGATCCTGAGAGGAGAATGGAGGAGAAGGGACTGCGGTGTGGCCGTCCCCTTGGGGGTTGATTTCTTGCTTTCTATCTCTCTGTCTCTCTGGCGAGCGCAAGCGCCCTGTAGCAAAACCTCTCAAAAAAAAAAAAAAAAAAAGAATTTACAAGTGTTTAATATCCTTGCAAGGACATTACAATACAAAAATGCCTAAGAAATAGATTTTTTTAATGGGAGAGGGGAAAGAGATAGGTTTTTTTGGTTGTTTCTTTTTGCTATAGGATGTGTGTGCTCACCAGAAAGAGACAGAGAGACAGAAAGTAAGAACTCACCCCTGAGGGGATGGCCATGCCTCAATCCCCTCTCTACTCTTCTTCTGGGATTCTGGGCATGCACACACTTGAACCACGGCCACGGGGAAGTCCAGCACTTTAACCACTGCACCACCCATAGGCCCCAAGATCATTTTGTTTGTTCATTTTAAGACTTTTTTTGCTATGGAGTTCATGTGCTTGTTGGAGAGACAGTGAGACAGAAAGTGAGAAATCACCCCCCATGGCCACACCACAATCCCTTCTCCACCTTGTCCCCTCAGATTCTGGGCACACTCACATTTGCCCGGCATGAGTTTTAAGCAGCCAGTTTTAAGAATCCACATGCTCTAGCCTCCCAGTTAGCTATGATTATAAGGGTATACCACCATGTCCAGCCTGCTTTAGGTTGACCTGCGAACTGAAATGGGCCACCCATATGCCTCAGTCTTTTTATTTTTTAAAGAATTATTTAATTTTATTTATTATTATTATTATTTTTATTTGCTATGGGGCATGTGCGCTCATCAGAGAGAGAGGAAGAGAGAAAGCAAGCTACCTGGTCTGGGACTTGAACCACGGTTGACCACCTGGGAGTCTAACCATCACACCACCTGCTAGCCCCAGTGCCTCAGTCTTATGCAATGGCATTCCACCACCTGGACCTACCCAATGAGTGTTCACAGGCAGTAACATACTGATCAGCAGTACTGGAAGTCACATGGTTGAGCACAGGTTGAGATCCTGAGCTGACCTTAAACATATCAGGCATGCATATACCCAAGATCCTGACTAGCTAGAAGGCTGAGGAAAGAGAATCGTGGAGAGAAGACACCCTGACTAGGGCGATTTTGCCCCTCACTTTCTTTTGCTCTCTCTCATGAAAATAAAATAGACTTTAAGGGAAAAAAAGGCACAACCCAAAATCTAGAGTTGTGATCAAGAACACCTTTAACATAAGTATGTTTATATTCTCTTTTTACACACTGTAAAAGAAGGCTCCAGTGTTTTGGAGGAGTTTCTACCTTAGGCTCTATGTATACATACCTACATTTGAAAACAGCAAAAGATAAGAATATTGACCTTGATGTTAGCAAATGGCCAACTACTAAACTCAATTCCTTCTCTTGAGCTTAGTTCAAAACTTAATAAAATAACCCATAGTTCTGTCCCATCAAGAGGATAGGAGGTGTCAGCTAAGGCAGGAATAAATTTTCCCTAGTTGCTACATTGCTTTGCAAGAGAACCAGGATTTATTTAGAAGTGATGTCTCCACCTTGTTTTAAAAATCAACTTTCCTTGATTGTTTGGAGGAGTAGAGCACATATCTCCTGATTAGTTTCTTTACTGCTCCACTCAGAAATTAAGCATCTTCCTTATGGTAGAGAATTAAAATAAAATTTAAAAGATTAAATCCACTCTTTTTATAATTTTAGAAAACTAAGTAATCAGAATTAAATAATGTAAACTGAGTAGAAAAAACCTGAATTAACTTCTATCAGGTTAATTTATGTAAAATAAAGTGAAATATTTTTGCCTCAGAAACACTCTACAATTTAACTAGTTTTTAAATAGTTCTATTTTTCTTTTCTAAATGCAAGGACATTAATATAGTCAACTTGGAAAAGTATAAATTTCAAATAATAAATCATCTTTGTATAGACTATCTATGTCCTTTGTGTGTGTGGAAAATGCAGATAAAATAAGGAATTTAAAGGATGATCACAATAGTGAATCCAAAAAAAGAAAGTTTTAACTATCCTGGGTAGAAGTAACTGGATAAATGAAACAATGAATATAGCAAACCCTTCAACCAAAAATGTATATAAGTATATGAATTTAACCAAGGCCAATAAAGATTTTTAAATAACCAAATATCTGGTGCCTGTACAAAGGCCTGTATGAAATGAATCGGTGATCTCAGTTCAGATATCCTGGAGGTCTTATTAAAGCGAGTGTACCGTACTGAAGGTAACATGTATATAATAAAAAAGATTCCATTTCAGATATGGAAAAACAGCAATTACATTCAATTACTATTTTCACAAGATATCTGAAATGGTTCAAAATTGCTAACAATTTTGCTACTCCCAGAAACACACATTAATATCCAATATCCCTAAAAACACTTACATTAAAAAAACATATTTTATACTAAAATACATTTACTTTGTGGGATTTTCTTTTTCTTAAGTACACTACAAATTCTATTGTCTTAACCCTCTAGAATTTATCTTTTTTAATTTTATAAAGAAAAACTCTCACAGTGAAAAAGAAAAGGCAAAGAAAATTCCCAAACCACCTCTCTGGTATAGTATATATCACTATCAATCCCCAAATACAAAGTTGTACCAAGCTATCTGAATATTAAACAGATTCATCAATAGTAAATAATTACTAAAAATCAAAGGAAATGTAAAAAAAAAAAAAAAGGATGGTAGAACAGAATTAATTCTTAGAAGAGGGACAAGAACCATTTTAGAAAAATAGAATTTAAATTAAAAATCCCACAACATAAATAGGTAGAATAAATTAGCTGGTTTTTAAGTCTAGCTTTTTTAAAAAATAAGCCAATATTGCATACTACATATGCTCTGTATTGTTTCCTGAAAACAGACATTTTTGAATGATTTGAACTTGGCAATTCATTTAATTAAAATCCTAACCTGAATATCTACTATTTGCATTCTGGAATTCACAAGTTCTACTTACCACATATTTTACAGCACTTATAAACTGGTTGTGGAAAAGCAGATGCTGTGTTTCATCTTCTGGATTTGAAGCTGTGTAAAGCATTCCACAAACATTACAGGAAACTGCTCCAAATCTTTTCTGTCCTGCATCCTATTTATAAAAAACAAACAAGTTTTTCCTCCCAAATGAATTATTCTAGAACATCAGCCTTTAAGATTATAACGTGAACACAATGTGAGTACTTGTTTATAATGAAATCAATTATATTCAACCTTCATTACAAAAGTTAAAATAGGGGCCAGCAGGTGGCATAGATACAACAGATGACTGGATCCCATGTTGCTGACTACGCAACTCAAATAAGAGGATAACAGAGCAGAGAAGGGACTGTGATGCGGCCACATCCCCAAGACTGATTTCTCCCTTTCCTTCCCTATATTTCTCTGGCAAGCACATGCGCCCTATAGCAAATTATTAAAAAAGAAAAATAAATTAAGATGTTAACCTTTGAAATCTGTGTGTTGTAGTGGCTAAGCACTGCCTATCAGGAGCAGGATACCAGATGGCCAACCACAGTTTGAACCCCAGCCCCATGGCTTGAAAAGCACCCTGGTCACTTATGCATGTCAGCCAGAATCCTGACGGGATGAAGAAATACAGTAAAAAGAAATTTAATGTGTACATGCCCCTTTGAGGGCTGCTTTGTCTTTCCTCTCTCTCTCTCTCTTACTCTCTCCCCCTTTCCCCATCCCTCCTCTGGTTGAGTGCATATGTCCACTAACAATGTAACATATTTACATATTTAGCCAATATATACATCCATATATGTATATACTTTGTATAGAACTAAAGGGAAATTCATTTTAAAGGAGTCAAACTAATGACAAATGTTATATGAAATTCATTTCAAGCATTAAAAACAAGTAACTAGGGGACCAGCAGTTAGCGTAATGGCTATGTCACTGGACTCCCACGGAGTTGACCGCGGTTCGCATCCCGAACCCGGTGACTTAAAACTCACACCGGGCATGTGTGCGTGCATGCCCGAGATTCCAAGAGGAGAATGGAGGAGAAGGGATTGCGGCGTGGCCATCCCCCCCTGGGGGGTGATTTCTTGCTTATCTGTCTCTCTGGCGAGCACATGCACCCTGTAGCAAAAACCTCTCAAAAAAAAAAAAAAAATCTAAAAAAATAAGTAACTGGGACCAGAAGGTAGGATGGCGCTTAGGGCACTGGACTTCCACATGGCCAACTATGAAGTCTCAGACCTGGCAGCTTGCTTTCTCACTCTCCCTTTCTCTCTCTCTGTGATTCTCTCTGATTGAATTAAATACATAATTCTTTTTAAAATCTGGCTGACCCCTCTAGTTACCTCACATTAATGAAATCATGGTTAACTGTCTTTGAGTGTATGGTTTATTTCCTTAGCATAATATCCTCAGGTTTATCCATGTTGTAACATGTGCCAGAATCTCCTTTCTTATTAAGGCTGAAAATCATTCTACTGTGTATGTATCACTTTTTGTTTACCCACTTATCCATCAATAAATGCTTGGCTTGCTTCCACCTCTTAGCTATCAAAGATGAACATGAACGTGTAAGTACCTCTTTGAACAGGTAGTTTTCAGAGTAATGAGAAAGTAAGCCTCAATTGAAAAATGGGAAATAATAGTATTATCTGTCTTATAATCTTCTTAAAAGGCTTAGTTAATATGAGCAGAGTACATGTAATAATACATTCAAAAAGTATTAGCTGGTGGGACCAGCTATTAGCATAATGGCTATGTCGTTGGACTCCCACGTGGCGACCGCAGTTTGCGTCCCAGACCCAGTGGCTTAAAATTCATGCCGGGCGCGTGTGCATGCGTGCCCAAGATCCGGAGAGGAGAATGAAGGAGAAGGGATTGCGGTGTGGCCATCCCCCCTCGGGGGTGATTTCTCGCTTTCTATCTCTCTGTCTCTCTCTTTCTGGCGAGCGCACGTGCCCTATAGCAAAAACTTCTCCAAAAAAAGAAAAAAAAAAGTATTAGCTGGTATCATGATTATTTTTTTTTTCTTTGAGAGGTTTTTCACTATAGGGCGTGTGCGCTCACCAGACAGACAGAGAGAGACATAGAGACAGAAAGCGAGAAATCACCCCCCAGGGGGGATGGTCACGCCGCAATCCCTTCTCCTCCATTCTCCTCTCGGGATCTTGGGCACTCACGCACACACACCCGGCGTGAGTTTTAAGCCACCAGGTCCAGGACGTGAACCGCAGTCGACTACGTGGGAGTCCAGCGACATAGCCATTACGCTAACTGCTGGTTCCCTAGCTGGTATCATGATTATTAACATCACCATCAATGATCAACTCTTGACCAGAACATCCAAAAGAAATGTGATCTACAAGTGTAATTTAAAATTTTCTATTCACTGCAAACAGGTGAAATCAATTTTAACATTTAACAAAGTATATCCCAAATATTCAATTTCAAAATATATTCAATGTAAGAAAAACTACTAGAGAGAAATTTTATATTCTTTATTGTACTAGTCTCTGAAATGTAGTATGTTTTTTTCACACAGCATATCTCAAATCTGAAAAATGACATTGCAAGTGTTTAATAACTATACATGGTTCCCATACTGGAGTATGGCTTTAGATTCTATTTGCTAAATCCTGACTAACTGTCACGATGATTTGAAAACAGAAACACTACTACACATGATAAAACAAGCTTTCCTCTCACACATACTTCTGAAAAACATCTAGACAACTCTTGAAAAGTTATTCTGATATTGAAGTTAGAATCCTACATCCATCAGGAGGCCAAGCAGGTGGCATGGTGGTTAAGGCAGCTGGACTCCCACATGGCTGACCGTTAATTCAAGTCCCAGACTTGGCGGCTTTCTTTCTCACTTTCCTTCTCTCTCTCTGGTCTCTCTGGTCAACTAAAAAAATAAAAATAAAAATAAAATAATGACAACGAATAAAATTTTTTTAAAAAATCCATCATTCAGGCTTTAAAAATCCTACTGATGGAACAGCAGATAGCGTAATGGTTACATTGCTAGATTACCACGTAGTCAACTGTGGTTCAAGTCCTGGACCCAGCGGTTTAAAACTCATGCTGGGCATATGTGGGTGTGTGCATGCCCAAAATCCTGAGAGGAGAATGAAGGAGAAGGGACTGTAGCATGGCCATTCCCCCTGAGGGAGGTGATTTCTTGCTTTCTGTCTCTCTCTCTCTGACGAATGCATACACCCTATAGAAAATAATTTCTTTTAAAAAAAAATCCTATTGATTTGAAACTACAGTGACATAGCCATTACGCTAACTGCTGGCCCCTTCCATGGCCTGTTAGTTAAGGCAGCTGAATCCTGGATGGCTGACGGTGCAATTCAAGTCCCAGACCCAGTGGTTTGAAAAACATGCCAGGAGCATGTGCATGCATCCCCAAAATGCCATAAGAAAGCAGAAATGGAAGAGAAAGGACTGCAACATGATCCTTCATCAAGGGAGGTACTCACATTCCTTCTCTATCTCTCCGACAAACACACATACACACTGGCAAAATTTTAAAAATAAATAAAATAAAATTACATTAAAATTAACAGAAATAATTATGATTTACTATAAATAAAAGTGGTGGAACCTGCAGAGGGTGTGGAGGTTAGGCCCTGGATCCCACATGGCCAACTGCGTACTTTCAGTCCCCAGACCTAACGGCCCGAGAATCACACTAGACGTGTGCATACAGGCTCAAAATCCCAAGAGGAGTCTGAAGAAGGGACTGCAGGGGCTGGCAGGTGGCATGATAGTTAAAAGCGCTGGACTTCCACATGGCCAACCAAAGTTCAAGTCTCAGACCTGGCGGCTTGCTTTCTCACTTTCCCTCTCTCCCTCTGGTCAAATTATAAAAAATAATAAAATAAATAATGATAATAAATGGAGTTAAAAAAATAAAATTAAATAAGGGATTGTAGTATGCCCATGCCCCCTGGGGGGTGATTTTTCACTTTCTCTCTCTATCTGGCTAGTGCATACACCTTATAGCAAAACTAAAAATAAACAAAAAAAAACTAGAAGTATGAAAACTGAATTATTATTTGTTATAGGATAAATTTACTATTTAGTGGGGAGGAAGACTTGCAATAATACCTGGAATATCTTTCAAAATAAAGACTTATGATGGGGGTCAATAGGTGGTGTGGTCATTCAGGTGCTGGACTCCCACTGGACTCCCACATGCCTATGGTTCAAGTCCCAGACCTGGTGACTTCAAAATCACAACAGACACATGTGCATGCATACCTAAAATCTCAGGAAAAGAATGGAGAAGGTACTACAGGGTGGCTATATCCCTGGGGGTGATTTCTCACTTTGCCTCTGTCTCTCTCTCTCTCTGGTAAGCACACACGCCCTATGGTAAAAACCTAAATAAAAACAATTTATGATGACATAAGAGCCTTTCGGGGGAGGGGGGAGAAGGGATGAATGTACTCTTTTTTTCTTTAAAAAGAATTATTTAATTTGTATTTTTTTAAAAGTTATTTTATTAAATTTTGTTATTATTACTGTTTAATTTGACCAGAGAGAGGGAGGGAAAGTGAGAAAGCAAGCTGACAGGTCCAGGACTTGAACCAATGTTGGCCACCTGTGAGTCTAGCACCTTAACCACTACGCCACCTGCTGATTCCTGTTCTTTAACATCTTATACGAATAAGATGCTTATAACAACATTTTGCCAAAATGGTCAAGTTATGTACTTACTATAATCAACTGTTTTTCATCAGCTTTTTCTGCTTCTTTTAGTTTCAAGTCCTTTGGAATAGTTATCTCCAAATGGGAATTACACTTAGGCCAAGAATGATTTGGTGGTGCCTCCCTTAAAAAAATAAACAAACAAGTGAGTACTACAGGTCCATATCACTTCAAATCACTGGAGGAAAAAAATAATTTTCTATGCAACACTGACAGATTTCAAGTTCAAGGGAAAAAGAAAACTACTAATTTCTAATAAGCGACAACAACAACAAAAAAACTGCAGCACCTACTAGTCACAACATGTTTTAAGTTGTAATTTTAGCCATTTGAGCCAAAGTTTTTCCTAAATATTTTTTGTTGGTAACTCAAAAGGCAAAAAAAGTCAGATTTATGACATATTAAAAAGAAAACAAAAACTTCTAAGCTACCTCCTAAAATACTCTTAACATGTGGATAAAAAACATTATTTCAATGAATGCAGGTAAAGAAACATTCTCAAAGAATAACCACCACTGGGACTAGCAGATGGCTTAATGGTTATGTTGCTAGACTCCATGGTAGTTGACAGCAGTTTGAGTCCTGGACCTGGTGGCTTAAACCTCATGCCAGGCGCATGTGCGTGCATGCCCAAAATCCCAAAAGGAGAATGGAGGAGAAGGGATTGCAGCCTGGCCACCCCCCTGGAGAGGGTGATTTCTGGCTTTCTGTCTGTCTCTGTCTCTCTGGCAAGTGCGCATGCCCTATAGCAAAACTCTCTAAAAAAAAATAAATAACCACCTCTTCAGAGAGAAATTTTGCAATGTGGGGATTAGTGGGGACGGATATATAGTATGTGTTTATTTCCAAGACCTTTATTTTATTTTATTTTGGGTAGAAATGAACTAGAAACAACCAAAATGTCAACCAAAATATCTATAAAGTGGAGAACGGTTAAATACACTATGCAAAAATCACATAATGAAATCTAATACAGAATTTTAAAAGACTGAGGTAAGAAGGTAGAAAAGATGCTCATGGGGCCAGCAGGTGGTGAGGTGGTTAAGGCTCTTGACATTCCCACACGGCCGACCATGGTTCGAGTCCTGGACCTGGTGGCTTGCTTTCTCACTTTCCTTCTCTCTGTGTCTGTCTTTCTCTGGTCAAATTAAGATAAATGAATGAATAAATAAAATTAAATAAATAAGTATAAAAAAGAAAAGAGAGAAAAGATGCTCAAAAATGAAAGCTATTAAATAGTCTACATAGGCATAAAAAAAAGTATAATGTTGGGGTCAGCAGGTAGTGTGGTGGTTAGGGGTGCTGGACTCCCACATGGCTGATGGTGGTTTGAGTCCTGGACCTAGTAGCTTACTTTCTCACTCCTCCCTCACCACCCCTCTCACTTTGTTCCTCTCTGGTCAAATTTTTTAAAAAATAAATAAAGTAATTATTAAAAAAAAAAATGTAATGAGGCCTAGCTAATTAATACTAGAGATAAACCACATGGCAGACCCAGGTTCACATCCTGGAGCATCCTACACAGGCGAGATACAATAGCACATGCATGTACAGCCTAACTTACTGGGAAGGTAGGGCAGAGGACTACAATACTGAAACTCCAAAATACCTTTCTCTCGCGCGTTTGGGGAGGAAAAAGCTTAATGACGAATTCTTGAGTAAAGGGTTACTGGCAAAATTTTGGTGGCAAAATACTTCGAAACTCCAAAGTTTTAAGTATAAATCTTTAAGTTCTCAAATTTAACTTGTACCTTACCTGTTATCACTGTTCTTAGATGTTTGGTTATTGAGCATACTATGCTGTTTGGGAGCTGAACCTGTAATTTAATCAAAGAGTCAGGTAATGTGTTATGCTTTGAACTAGAGCTTTCCATATAAAGGTCAAAATCTTTATACATAAAAATAAAATACTTCAACATCCTACATGCTTTACTTTTAATGAAGACTATATAATAAATTAGAACTTCAAAAAAGGAATTATTCTTGAAAGAAATTACTATTTAGAAAAGAGGCAGAAAAGCTGTCCTGTACTTGGATTACAGAGCTGCAAATAGATCTAATGGTAGCTTAAGTCTATCTCGTTTCACTATTACTAGCACACTGCGCAACAAAGGAAACTGTATCCATGCCTACATATTTATATAATCCCTCTGATATTTCATCTGATAGAGGTGACCAAATCCCCCCATTCAACAGTTAAAATAATATACTATTAAAAAAGTGTGAACATAAAACGCTTTCGTATAAGTGGAAAATTTTCAACATTTATGAAATCCTTAAATATAAGAGATGGGGCCGGCAGCTGGCATGATGGTTAAGGGCACTGGATTCCCAGATGGCCAACTACGATTTGAGTTCCAAAAAACTGAGTAAATGAAGGTTATAGATAAGAATCAGGGGTGATGGGGCCAGCAGTCGTTGGACTCCCACAAGGCCCACTGCAGTTTGAGCCTGAACCTGGTGACTTGAAAATCACGCCAGAGGGGGCAGCACATGGCGTGGTGGTTAAGGGCGCTGGACTCCCACATGGTCGACCACGGTTCAAGTCTTGGACCTGGTGGCTTGCTTTCTCACTTTCCCTCTCTCTCTCGCTCTCTCATTCTGTCCCTTTGTGGTCAAATTAAAATAAATAAAGTTGAATAAAATAATTCTTTAAAAAAAAAAAAAGAGAAAGAAAAAAGAAAATCACACCAGGCATGTGTGCGTGTTGCCCAAGATCTCAGGAGAATGGACATGGGATTATAGTAGGGTTATCCACCTGGAGATGTCTCACCTTCTCTCTCACTGTCTCTGTCTCTGCCTCTCTATCCAGCAAGTACACACACCCTATGATAAAAATCTCTTAATAAAATAAGGGACCAGCGAATGGCATAATGGTTACAGCATCAGACTCTCACATGGCCAACTGCAGTTCGAGTCCCAAAGCTGATGCCTTAAAACTTGCACTGGGCACATGTGCATGCATGCCCAAAATCTCAAGAGGAGAATGAAGGAGAAGGGACTGCAATGTGGCCATTCCCCCTGCGGGGTGATTTCTGACCTTCTTCTCTCTCTCTAAGAAGTGCATGAGCCCTATAGCAAAAATCTCTTTTGAAAAAAAGGAGGGGAATGGCAGGTGGCATGTGATTAAGGGCATTGAACTACCACATGACCGACTGTGGTTCGAGTCCTGGACTGGGCTTGCTTTCTCACTTTCCCTCTCTCTCTGTCCCTCTCTGATCAAATTAAAATAAATAAATAAATAAATAAAGTTAAATGAATTATTCTTATAAAAAATAATAATAAAAGAACCAGGTGATAAAGCACAAATAGTAATGTGTTTAAAAAATAAGGTGCTGGGGCCAGAGGTGGTGTGGTGGTTTAGGTGTCAGACTCCTCCTACATGGTCAACTGCGGTTCAAGTCCCAAACCTGGCCCCTTGTTTTCTCACTTTTTACTTTTTCTTTCTCTTTCTTTTTTTCTCTCTCTCTGGTGAGCACATGAGCCCTATAGCAAATTAAAAATAATAAATTAAATTAAATAAATACTTCTTTAAAAAAATAAATAAGATGCTACCATTAACTGTCACTAAGGAATATTTTTACAGAGAGAAAGTCAAAAACAAAGTAAAAGATTTAAAAAAGAAACATTTGATAAGTCAAAAGGCAGGACCTGGGTACTTCAAACTAATGAAGAGAAGCGATTTTACTGAAGGAATGAGTGATGATAATGATGATCACACCTTGAAAATCACAGCGGAGACCAGCAGATGGTGTGGTAGGTTAAGGCGCTGGACTCCCATATGGCCAACCATGGTTAAAGCCCCGGATCAGGCATTTTGTTTTCTTACTTTCTGTGTGTGTCTCTCTCTGGTCAAATTTTAAAATAATAATAAATAAAATTAAATAAATAATTCAACACAAAATTTAAAAAGAAAAACCACAATAGTGAAGAAAGATTTGACAGCCCTATTTGATATGAGTAAGTTTTCTGTGATTCTGACCAAAGTGTTGACTGAATATTATAAAATCCAAAAACCATTTCAAAAACAGTAAATCCAAACAGTATTTCAAAAGTATTACCTGGAGATTCATTCTCTCCTCTATCAATTTTTGCTTGACTAAGCGAAGTTGAAACAGTTGTAGTATTTTCTACTGGACTGTTTTCCAGCTTGGATTCCAAACACATGCTGAAATTCTGAACACATATAATTCAAAATTTTTATATTGTCCTTTGAGTCTTAACCAAATACACTGTCAATAAATTATAGCATACAAAGAAAATTTAATACTCTTTATTTGTTGAGTAATTCACATATACATGCCTTTAAAGCCTCCCCACAATTTTGCCATAAGCTACCCCTTCAGCATCAGCTCTCTCTATTCCCCTTAATGTTAAATTTTTTTTTTAAATGTTAAATTTAAACATACTTCTCCAACAGACAAATTCCATGGTTGTCTGGTTCTATATTTTTACTCAGAGTTTTACTACTCTAGATTGTACTGCCACATGATCAGTAAACACCTGAAATATGGTATGAATTGAGATGTGTTGTACACATCAAAGATATACCACTCTTTGAAACCTTAAGTATATATACACATACACACGAACACACACACACATGTAAAATGTGGGGCTGCAGGTAGCATGGTAGTTGAGGTACTGAACTCCCACATGGCTGACCAAGGTTTGAGTCCCAGACCTGAGAGCTTGCTTTCATATTTTACTTCTCTTTCTCTCTTTGTTGAGGACACATGCCCTAAAACAAATTAAAAATAATAATAGTAATAAATAAATAATTTTTTAAAAAGTAAAATGGAAAAAAATCACACAGGAATATGTGCATGTGTACCCCAAACCCTAAGAGGTGACCGGAGAGAGGATTGCATCATGTCCATCCCCCTTGGGGAGTAATTTTTTTATTCCCCGCCCCCTCTGGCAAGCACACATGCTCTATAGCAAAACTTTAAAAAGGGTTCGCGTCCCAGACCCAGTGGCTTAAAACTCACACCGGGCGCGTGTGCGTGCGTGCCCAAGATCCCGAGAGGAGAATGGAGGAGAAGGAATTGCGGTGTGACCATCCCCCCCTGGGGGGTGATTTCTCGCTTTCTGTCTCTATGTCTCTCACTCTGTCTTTCTGTCAAGCGCACGCGCCCTATAGCAAAAACCTCTCCCCCCCCAAAAAAAAAGAATTATTTTTATTTAATTTTATTTATTCACTCATTTTATTTTTTAATTTGACCAGAGAGAGACACATGGGGCGGGGAGAGTGAGAAAGCTAGCTGCCAGGTCCGGGACTTGAACTGTAGTCAGCCATGTGGGAGTGTCCAGCGCCTTAACCACCACGCCACCTGCTGGTTTCCCAATAATTTTTTAACTAGTATGTTAAAATGATAGATTTAGGGGCCAGCAGCAGGTGTGGTGGTTAAGGTGCTGCACTCCCATGCAGCAGACCATGGTTCGAGTCCCAGACCTAGAGGCTTGCTTTACTTTCACTTTCTCTTTCCGGTCAAATTAAAAAATAGTAACAAATCGAGAAACAGCAGTTAACGTAATGGCTATGTCGCTGGACTCCCACGTAGTCAACCACAGTTCACGTGCCGGACCCGGTGGCTTAAAACTCACGCCGGGCGCGTGTGCGTGCGTGCCCAAGATCCTGAGAGGAGAATGGAGGAGAAGGGATTGCGGCGTGACCATCCCCCCTGGGGGGTGATTTCTCACTTTCTGTCTCTATGTCTCTCTCTGTCTGTCTGGCGAGCGAACGCGCCCTAAAGCGAAAACCTCTCCAAAAAAAAAAAAAAGGAACAAATAAAATTAAATAAATAAATCTTTTCTTAAAATGATAGATTTATATATTATAGGTTAAATAAAATGTTAAAATTAATTTTACTTGTTTCTTTTTGTTCTATTCATGTAGCTACTAGGTAATTTAAAATTATGTGTGAGGATTACATTGTATTTTTACTAAACAGTGCTGATCTAGAGTACCTTTTCCCCTACATAATTCAACTCATCACTCAAGTATTACCCTATTCTCTGTCTACTTTGTCTATACTTTTCATGCCCTTAACACTTCCTATTTTGAGTCAGTTGTTTGATTAATCTATATTCTTAACTGAAACACTATGTTTATATATCTTTTAATACCCAATTTAAGAGCCCTTAATTCAAAGTCTTATCTAAGCAAATACTCAGAACTAATGAAAGAAAATACTGTAAACTCCATCAATACTGGCTATCTTGGGAAAATGAAAATGGAAAAAAAACTTGGGTATGTGTGTATCTGTACTATGACTGCTATGATAAATATTATTTTAACATTTTAACACTTTTGTCACTGAAAAATGAAGCAGAAAAATTAAGAATAACATGTTACTAATTACTCTTCATTAATAGAAAGTAAATTATTGGTCTAAAAAATAAATTATAATTGATCTTCAAAACATAAGGTCTTGGGCGCTAGACTCTCATATGGCCAAGCACAGTTTGAGTCCCAGACTTGGCAGCTTGCTTTCTCACTTTCTCTCTCTCTCTGGTCAAATTGAAAAATAATGATGATAAATAAATAAATAAATAAAATTTAAAAACTTGTAAGATCTTAGGGCAGCAAATGGTGCAGTGGTTATATCACTGGACTCCCACATGGCGAACTGTAGTTCAAGTCCTGGACTCAGTGGCTTGAAATTCATGCCAGGCACACGTGCATGCGTGCCCAAGATCCCGGAAGTAGAATGGAGGAGAAGGGATTGTGGCATGACCATCCCCCCTAGGGAATGATTTCTCACTTTCCCTCTTTGTCTCTTTCTCTCTCAAGCAAACACATGGACCCTAAGGCAAAGCCTCTTAAAAGAAAAAAAAAGTACAAGGTCTAAATAATTTAAATCTAGCCCAAAGGATACAGAGGAATTTCTCTCAGATGCTTAGCCTTATAACCATCATTATTTGTCAGTATTGCTGAGAATGATGCAATATAACCAAAAAAGCAAAATTACACATGACCACAGAAAAAGTTTTCAATGACGTAAAGGCTTTGTGTTTTAGAAACTTGTTTTATTTTTTGGATTCTATCTTTCCAAGTAAATCTAGCTGAACTATTAAGTCAGCCAATGTCAGCTTAAATCCTGGATTCATGATTTAACATTACTCATGTAAGTTGCTTAAGTATTTAAGTCTTACTGTCCTCACCTGTAGTTTGTGAAAAGAATTTATAGTTCAGATTATGGTTGCATTACATGAAACTTTCCTTTGCCCAATAATGCCATAGTGTTCATTAAACAAAAGCTATTATGGGGATAGCCAGTGACCTAATGGCTAAGGCAACTGGACTCCACATGGCCGACTGTCCAGCTGAGTCCTAGACTTGGCAGCTTCACAAACACACAAGGTGCAGGTGCATGTGTGCCCAAAATCCCAAGAGAAGGGACTGCGGCATGACCATCACCCTGGAGGATGCTAGCTTTCTCTCTCTCTCAAACAAGTATACATACCCTATAGCAAATTAAAAAAAAAAAAAAAAAAGAAATTATGACGATTTTACTAAGCTACCCCACTTCTCGGGATTTATGAAAATAGATATCTCTAAGGGAGTCCTGTAATATAAATTCCTTAATAGCAAGAAACATTTGTAGCCCTAGAAAAGCACCCAGTGGATCAGAAGATGGTGTGGTAGTTAAGGTACTGGATTCTCACATGGACAACCACAGATCGATTTTCAAGACATGCAATTCGAAAATCACTCTGGACATGTGTGCATGTAGGCCCAAAATCCTAAGAGAATGGATAAGAGACTGCAGCATGGACATCCCCCTGGGGGCTGATTTCTCATTTTCTTCTCTCTCCCTCTTTCTCCATCCAGTGAGCGAATGTACCCTATGGCAAAAACCTTAAAAAAAATTTTTTTAAAGGGCCAGCAGGCGTCATGGTGGTTAAGGTGTTAGACTCCCAAATAACTAACCACAGTTCGAATCTCAGACCTGGTTCCTTGCTTTCTCATTGTCTTTCTCTCTGTGTCTCTCTATGAATACACATGCCCTACAGCAAATTAAATCATTCTTTTTCTTTTGGAGAGGTTTTTGCTACAGTGTGCGTGTGCTTGCCAGAAAGACAGAATGAGATAGAGAGACAGAAAGCAAGAAATCATCCCCCAGGTGGACTGGCCACACTGCAACCCCTCCTCCTCCATTCTCCTTGGGATCTTGGGCATGCACACACACGTGCCTAGCGTGAGTTTAAGCCACCGGGTCCGGGACTCGAACCGTGATCGACCACATGGGAGTTCAGCAACATAGCCAACTGCTGGCCCCAAAATTAAATAATTCTAAAAAAAAGGCACAACACCTTGGACATAACAGGCATTGAAATATACCTTGAAACTGATTTGGTCACCACTGTATTTACTGATCACTGTGTGACTCACTGTTACTACTGGTGGGGGGGAAAAACATGTAAACAATCTATAGGTCTTTTTTTTTTTTAATTATTAAATTTTTACTTATTTTTATTATTTTTTAATTTGACGAGAAAGGGACCAGCAGATGGCATGATTGGTTACGTCACTGGAATCCCACATAGTTTACTGCAGCTCGTGTCCTGGACCCAGCAGATTGAAACTCACACCAGACGCACGTGTATGTGCATTCCCAAAATCCTGAGAGGAGAATGGAGAAGAAGGGATTGCAGCATAGCCATCTCCCCTGGGAGGTGATTTCTCACTTTCTGTGTCTCTGTCTGTCTGTCCAGATTTTTGCCCTACAGCAAAAATCTCTCTTAAAAAATAAATAAAAATAAAACAAATAAGTGAAATGAAAATAAAAATAATTAGACTAGTGAGAGAGAAAGTGAGAAAGCAAGATATCTGGAATTTGAACCATGGTTGACATGGGAGTTCAGCACCCCAACCACACCACCTGCCAGTTCCCTCTAAAAGTCTCTTAACAAAGGAAAAGATAGATCTGTGGTATATTCTTTTTCTTTAGTTTTGCTACCGGGCACTATGTTTGCCAGAGAGAGAGAGAGATAGCAAGTGACAGATACGGGAGAGAGGAAAGTGAGAACATCTTGCTCAGGGAAGATAACCATATTACAATTCCTTCTCCTCTATCCTCCTCTCAGGCTTTTGCACACACGTACATGCACCTGGCATGATTTTCAAGCCACTGGGATTGAACCATGGTTGGTCATGTGGAATCCAGTAC